TCTAATTTTACTGCATTTTTAATGGTAAGTCTCCATTCTAAAGAGAACATGGGACATATGTAACATGTTATGTTTGCTTATCACAGATACATGTGGCCCCTTTGTTAAATATTCATAGCTCCTCCTACAGCCTGTTAAATATGTATGTTCAGCTAACCCATTTAGTGTAAAATTACTGTCTCACCCATCCTCGTTTGAAATATAGCCTACTTTTGATCTAATCCAGAGGATGTGCTTCCCACCCTACAGGTTGTAACCCTTCTCAGAAATAAAGTTCTCTTTCCAAATGTATAGATGTCATGATATTTAAGCTGACACAGTAAGGAGAGTTTGGTCAGATGTCCAGTTACTAAAATACATGCTCTAAAAATCTTTTCATATACCAATAATAACCTATTAGAAAAACAGTAAAGAAAAAATTCTATATACAATAGCAGCAAAAAACAAACAAACAAAAAAAAAACAAAAAAAAACCCTACACCTGAACATATTAATCTCAGCATCACTAAAAGTGGAACAACCAGATCTGATGGCTCACAGGTGAGATAAAGCAGAAATGATGGAGCATCATTTTAAGAAGATTCTTGCCTAAAGAAATGAAACCTGAGTTTAACCAGATCTCTAGTCCTAACTCTCTGCAAATACTAAATATGAAGCAACTAACCAAATTCAGAAAGTAGGATATTCTCCCAGACAAATAACCCGGGTTTCTGTTTTTAAAAAAGGTCAATGACAGTTAAAGAAAAAAGAGAGAGAGAGAGAGAGAGAGAGAAAGCAGTATATAATTAATAAAACAAGGGGTACAAACGTGTTTGAATTCTTCTTTAGATGCTGATTCAAATGAACATATTGTAAAAGGCTATTTTTGAAACAATTATGAAATACAAATCTAAATTGGATATTAAATAGTATTAAGAAATTACGATTGTGAATAATATGATGGTGGGTTTTTTGAGGCCATTCTCAGGCAATGTAGAATAAAATGGTAAGACATCTGGGACTCGCTTCATAGGAGAGGTACTTAATCAAGTTTGGCAAATATAAGCAATTACTGAAGCTAGATAGCTAGATAATGGGTACATGGAGTTCATTATACCTACCATTCTCTCTCTGTGTATGTTTGAAACTTTCTATAACAAAAAGCTATGAAATAAAAAATTAAAATGAAAATCTTGAAATATTACAAAAAGATATAAATTTACCCTAAAAATGTTATTTCTTCCCAAAGAACATACAAATTTCAATGTGGTATTTTGAAAATATCAATATGATGTTTAAACTCATGTGGAAGAATAATAAAAAAGTACATTCTGAAACAGATGAGTAATAATGATGGGGTTAAGGGAACGGTTTGCTACTAGGTATTAAAATGTACTATTTGTTAACTGCATTTGAAACAATTTGGTATTAATACAGAGACCAACAGAAAAATACAGAGTTCAAACACAGACCCAAGTACCTATGGCAATATAGTATTAAAATAAAGTGATTTTTTTTTGAGACGGAAATGAGAGAATTAGTACATTAAGCTGGCATAAAAATATAACCATTTTCAGGGGAAAAAAGAAAAAGTTTTCCTGTCACGCTTTAACCAAAAGCATAGAAACAACAACAAAAACTCCACACAAACAAAACCCAAACCAAACCAAAACGGAACCCATAAAATTACTAGAAAATTTAGCCACTTATTTTAATAACTAAGACCGAGAAAGATTTCCTAACTATGGCGCATACACTGAAAATTAGAAAGCAAAATACTGATAGCTTAGACTTTGACATAAAGTGAAGATACCATAAAGTCTTTGAAGCCCGCTTTGTCACACTCCTGGGCTGCTGAGGTGCTTATGCCATTCTGGTCCCCCTTGACTGACTCTAATAAGAGACTACGGCTTTGAGCCTATCAGCCAAGTGTAAATAGGTAGTAACAACTGTACCATGGTCCAAAGTGCTCATTGTGAGGACAGGTGAATCAAAGGACTATTTCCCAGGCATATCCACATTTCTGGAGAGCCCACATTTTAGCCTGCCTATATCCATTCTTCTACAACTATGGTTTTTTTAAAAGGGAAATTATATAAACACTAATGAACAATAAACATATATATTCTCTAGCACAGTAACTGAATTATGGCAAACAAAAATAATGAGAAACCATTTTTTATAATTTGACAGGCAATGTTGTCATTTTATATGAGAAAACACAGAAAGGCAATATGATTTTATATGAAAAAACGCAGAAAGGGGGTGGTAATGCATCACTTTTTTAAAATCTGGCAACAGACATCTACGAACAATATTGTAATTCAGTTTTAATAGGATAATTAAAATGTATAGAGTTATTTTGGAAAAAAGACATATGCAGAAAGTTTAAGGGGAGTCTGATTAGTAACTCGATTATAACATCATCAAAATAAAAATGTTACTGAGCACCCACAACAAAATTAGGCACTTGTTAATCCAAGACACTTCTACTCTATCTAAAGTACTCGGTGAGAGTACTTTAGATATAATAAAGTCATGAGAAGTTCATAGATCTAGTGGAAGAATAAGCACAGAAACAAAATACAAGAAGTATTATAATAAAGGTATGAACAAAATATTCTGAAAGCACCAAGGAATATGGGGCATAATAAAAAGGTCAAAGAATAAATGACCAGACATGCTTGTTCTTGAAGTTTGAAGACTTTTATCAGACCGAAAACAAGAAAAATAAAGTAAATTATACATAGAGAAACTCATACACACAAAAATACGAAGAGACATGGTCAGGCTTTCTCTGGTTTTAGTAAAACGGTTCATAATAGCATATTTTATGAAGAACTAACCATGCATGACAATGACAAGCAGGCTAGGATCACAGAGTTACATGATAAATGTGTATTTCAGAAAGACAAGTAAGCAACAGGGTATACAAAAATAACCAAAAAATGGGAGATAATTCTCCCTGGGTCTCTGAAACTTATGATCATGTAAAACTCATATCCACCAGTGAGGTTCCCAATACTTAAAGACTGTTTTCCTGTTTAGTAGTGACATTGACAAATGAGACATTTTACATTTTAAGATGTGCATAATTTAAGGAACAAAACTCTGTAAATGATCAATGTATCATGGTGAAAATATCACATACAGGTAAAATCCATTCGAAGGGTTAAACAGACCAATAAATATATATCCTTTATATATCAGCTTCTTGAGATATAATTCACATACTACACAATACATCCCTCTAAAGTGTACAATTCAATGGTATTTAGTATATCTGGAGTTGTACAAGCATCACATCAATTTTAGAACATTTTCAATACCCACCCCCCAAAAAATCCAGTGCATTCCTTAGTCATCACTTCCAAAACCTCATTCTCACAAGTCCTAGGCAAATACTAATTTATTTTCTCTTTCTACAGACATGCATATTTAGGCCACTTCTCAGATATGGAATCATAAAACATGTATACTTTTATGACTGGCTTCATTCATTTAGCATGGTATTTTCAAATTTTGCCCATGTAGTAGCATGTATCAGTACTTGGTTCCTTTTTTCTCAAATAATATTATATTGTACGCATATTCCAATTTTGTTTCTTCATTTATCAGTTAGTAACACACTTGGATTGTTTCCATGTTTAGGCTATTATACATAACGCTGCTATAAACATTTGTGCAAACATTTTCATTTGTCTTGGGTATATACCTAGAAGTAGAACTGCTGGATATGGCAACTCTATGTTCAAATATTTAAGGAATTGCAAAACTCTTTTCCAGAAAGTCTACATGTTTTAACATTCCCACCAGTGATGGCTTTGGGTTCTCCAAATCCTTGCCAAAACTTTTGTCCCTCAGATTATACCTATCATCCAAGCAGGTGTGAAATAGAATCCCATTGTAGTTTGACATTAATATACCTGATAGCTAATTATGTTGAGCATCTTTTTATGTGCTCATTAGTCATTTGTACATCTTCTTTTGGGAAAATGCCTATTCAGATACTCTGCCCATTTTTTTTAAAGCGAGTTATTTTTCTTTTTGTCATTATTGAGTCTAAATAATTCTTTATATATTCAAGATAAAATAGATTTGTAAGTGCAATTTTCTCTCATTCTGTGGGTTGTCTTTTCACTTTCTTGATGGTATCCGTTAAAGCACAAAAGTTCTAAAACTTGATGAAATCTAATTTATTTATCCTTTTCTCTTATGCTTTGGTTTCCTAAGAATCATTTGCCAATTCATATCATATGCCAGGTCATAAACATGTATTCATATGTCTTCTTTTAATGATTGCAGTTTTACTCTTACATTTAAGTCTTTAATTCATTTTGAGTTAATTTTTGCATATGAAGATAGGGGTCCACTTCATTTTCTTTTCCATATGGATAGACAAGTGTTCCAGTACCCTTTGTTGAAAAGATTATTCTTTATGCCATGGCACACTTATATTATAAAAAGTCAGGTTACCATAAATGTAAAGATTTATTTCTGTTCTCAATTCTACACCATTAAAGATATGTCTATCATTATACCAGAACTACATATTGGTGTGGCTTCATTATACGTTTTTTAATTGGGAAGTGAGAAACACAATTTTGGTCTTTTTCAAGATTGTTTTGGCTATACTGGGTCCGTTGAATTTCCACATTAATTTTAAGAGCAGCCTGTCAAATTCTGCAAAGAATTTAGCTGCGATTTTAGTAGGAAATTTATTTTAGATCAATTTGGGGGAGAATTGCCATCCTAAAAATATTAAATATTTTCAGAATATCAACATTTAATGTCTTTCCATTTAGTTTCCTTTAATTTCTTTCAGTGTTATATAGTTTTTAGAATATAAGTTTCACACTTCTATTGTTATATTTATACTTAAGCACACTATTTCTTTTGAAGCTATTTAAATGAAATTGTTTCATAATTCATTTTCAGTTTGTCCATTAATATTTGCAAAAATCCAGATTTTTCTATCTTGATATATATCTGTCGACCTTGCTGAATAAATTACTTTTTTGTTTTTTTAGAAATGGACATTTATTTTCCATCAACCTTATTTCCATGTTGCTTAAGAACGCATGCAAGAACAGCTTAATACCATTCAGAGGTTGCTCCTACCCATTTAATGGCCTGAGCAGTGGGAGTTGCAGACCAGTCTTCCGAGGCAGGCTAAATGCTCCCATCTTTAGTAGGGAACTGCTGAATAGGCACAGAGGGCATCTGCACACATTCAGACCAGTCTGCAACCTCAGGCTGAGTAGTAGTGAACTCAGGAGCTGGAGCAGTCCATTCACCCTGAAATTCCTCCTTGGTCACAGCCTTTTCAGCAGCAGCCTGCTCTTCTTTTTCAATCTCTTCAGGATCTCGGTAGAGTAGAGAGCAGGCATGACCTCCCACAGGTGTTCATGGGAAATGGTGCCACACATGTGCAGAACTTGCCAGGCCGGCATCCACCACATCAAACTGAGTGAGTTCCCTTGCTGTTGCATGGAATGGCAATGTCCACATAGTGCAGAGGAGAATCTGTGTTACACAAAGCAATGGTAGGTAGGTTAACATAAGATGCCTCTGTGAGATGCTGGTGATCAGCCCTGGGGTCAGTAACCACAAGAAGCCGTGACTCCTGGAACATTGCCTGGATATGGTTAGTGAAGGTTCCAGGATTGAGGCAGCCAGCATTTGGAGTGGCTCCAGTGGCAGCAGCAAACTTAAGCATGGCCTTCTGGCCAGTATTCCTAGAGGATATAAAACTGACATCAGTGGGATTTTCAATGGCAACAATGGCACGAGCTGCCAGCAGAAGCTTCTCCCAGGTCCTTTTCAGATTTATGATGTAGATGCCATCACTTTTCCTTTTCCTTTTATAAATTTACTTTTCCATTTAGAAGTCAAGATTGGTGCCACCTAAGTGGGTTCCTGCTGCAAGGAACTTAAGGACATCCTCCTCTTTCACTTGCAGAACATCAAAGGCTCCGGACATTGTGAAAGTTTCACTTTAAGTTATGATGAGAATCTAGAACAACGCTATATGGACCCCTATGTGGATAGTGCAAAATGCCATTTATTACATCTAACAGATTTTTAGGGGACTCCTTAAGATTTTTATTTTGTATATAAGATCATGTTATCTATAGACACACTTTTACTCTTTCCTTTCTGATATAAATGCCTTTTGTTTATCCAGTTAAAGTGGAATCAATTATTTTAGATATAATCATACTTGTGCAACCATCACCACAAATAATTTTAGAACATTTTCTCACCCTAAGAAACCTTGTACCTATTAGCAGTTAATCCTAAATATTCTCATTTCCTTCCAATCCTAGAATGACTTTTCCAACATGTTTCTAACATGTAAACACAGCTGACTTTAAAATTTCCTTACCAAACCCCAAAGTTGCAATAGCTAGTATATACCTATTGTTGAAAACTGATCTTTCATCATAATGTGTTGTTTGAAAAAGAAACGCTATAATTAAAAACACAGGAGATAATCAGTAAAGATATCCTGGAACTAACAGTATAAATACATCTCCACCATAAAAATTGCAAAAGCCTACTTTGAACCCACTCTAAAATTATTCTACATAATCAAAAATATTTATCAAAAGTTTACTCTAGGCTGGATGCAGTGGCTTACACCTGTAATCCCAGCACTTTGGGAAGCCAAGGCAGGAGGATCACTTGAGACCAGGAGTTCAAGACCAGCCTGGGCAACATAGCATGACTCCCATCTCTAAATTTTATTTTTTAAAAAAGTTATATGATAAAAATATTGATCAAATATTTATAATAAAATATTTTAAATACTCTGTATCATAATCACACATATTTAAAACTGCCAACAATGATCTGGAGGGCCAATTATTTATCAGAAAGACTGTAGAAATCATTCCACAAAAAGTACAAAAGATGTTGCTTTCTAAAATTGTGGACGGCTAACTCAAAACATTACCAGTCGAATGTATTTAACAAGGAAAGCAGTTGGTCAAGGTTATGACTATTTAAACTAGTTCTGATTTCCTAATAAATAACAATAATTGATATATATGAGGTTATGGGAGAAAATCTACACCACATCTGTAACTTTTCAGAGGTGTTCAGTACTTTTTAGAGATAGATTCAACTTAGGATTAAAAATTGAGGTAAGTTCCTTTGTTTTTCTAATTTGTTTTAACAGCAGTATAGGGATTTGAATTAACAAAATTAATTGCACATATTTAAGATACACAATTAAGTTTGGGCTTATGTATTATAGCTGATGTACAATTAATTTTAAATGGACCATTCTATTAGTATTATATGTGAGGAATCTGCTCACTTATTTTCATTTGGTAATGTTTTTATACTTTTCAGAGCAAAGATCTTCCAGATCTTTTGTCAGGTTCTCCCTCCAAGTATAGCCTATTATTTATGTGATAGAAAATACTGCTTTTATTAAATTTCAGTCTCAAATTTTTGTTCCTAGTGCAGAAAACCACAAGTTTTAAGTACTGATCTTATATTCTGCAAGTGTGCTAAACTCAATTATTCATTCTAGGACTTTTTTGTAGATTCTACAGAATAACATACATAGATGATCGTATCACTGAAGTATGATTTATTTCTGTTTTTAAATCTAGAAGTACTTCTTAACTAATTGTACTGGCTAGAACCTCCAGTACAATATCAAACAGAAGTAATGAAAGCAGACATCCTTGTCTTATTCCTGATCTTAGTGGGAAAGCATTCAGACTTTTACCAGTAAATATAATGTTACGATTGGTTCTTTATAGATGCTAATTATCAGGCTGAGGAAGTCCCTCTCTATTACCAGTTTTAGGAGAGATTTTATGAGGAATGGATGTTAGATTTTACCAAATGCTTGTTCTGTGTCTTAAGAGATAAACGTACAAATTTTCTTTAATCATTATTTTAGGTGGAAGATAGGTACAATACTTGTTACTTCAACTTATCAAAAGCAGAGAGCCCCAAATTCCTTTACTTTTAATGAACAAAAAAATTTACTTTAACTTCATGAATGCAATCAACTATCCAAATATACAACTTATATTTGTTAGATTAAAAATTCTTCTAATTCTTTTTGTGGTACTGCTCTGCCTCTGAGGCTAGGGCACAGTGGCGCGATCATGGTTCATTGCATACAGCCTGTACCTCTTGGCCTCAAGCAATCCTCCCACCTCAGCCTCCTGAGTAGCTGGGTCTACAGGCATGCACCACCACACCTGGCTAACATTTGTAATTTTTGTAGAGATCAAATTTGCCATGTTGTCTTGGCTGGTCTTGAGCTCCTAGATTCAAGCGATCCGGACTCAAGCGATCCACCTGCCTTGGCCTCCCAAAGTGCTAGGATTATAGGTATGCACCACCATGCCCAACGAGTAACTCTTTATCAACAATGAATTAGTAAATTGTTAAGTAAAATGGCTAAACTCAGTATAAATAGTTATAAACACCCCGGAACAAAATACAGTACTATAGCTCAATATACTATATGATGAACAATGAGAATATTTCAGACAGAGGCCAGACGCAGTGGTTCATGCCTGTAATCCCAGCACTTTGGGAGGCTGAGACGGCAGATCACTTGAGATCAGGTGTTTGAGACCAGCCTGGCCAAATGGTGAAACCCCATATTTACTAAAAATATAAAAATTAGCTGGATATGGTGGTGTGCCTACAGTCCCAGCTACCAGAGGCAGGAGAATTGCTTGTATCCAGGAGGCGGAGGTTGCAGCAATCTGAGATGGGGCCATTGCACTCCAGCTTGGGCAATGGAATGAGAGACGGTCTCAAAAAAAAACAAAAGAAAACAAAACAAAACAAAAAACAAAGGCCAGGCTTAGTGGCTCATTTCTGTAATCCCAGCACTTTGGGAGGCCAACGTGGGTGGATCACAAGGTCAGTTCAAGCCCAGCCTGGCCAACATAGTGAAACCCTGCCTCTACTAAAAAGACAACAAGTAGCTGATGTGATGGTGGGCACCTGTAATCCCAGCTACTCAAGAGGCTGAGGCAGGAGAATCGCATGAAACCAGAAGGCAGAGGTTGCAGTGAGCTGAGATCACACCACTGCACTCCAGCCTGGGCAACAAGAGCGAAATTCCATCTCAAAAAAAAAAAAAAAAAAAAAAAGAATATTTCAGACAGAAACTTGAAGTAGATTAGTGAATTCTGGTAAAGCTGTAAAGTGTAAATAAGACCGTGAAACCAGTAATATTTATTATGGTTATGTTAGAAGTATCTGTGATACTATGAAGAGGTAAATGACACATAGCCTTTATATAGTAAATGAAGAAATTTAGAAACATTAAGTTAAAAAGAAAAAGAAAGAAAAAAACACTGCAAAAGATTAACTAGGGCTGGGCATGGAGGCTCATATCTCTAATCTCACCATTCTTGGAGGCCAAGATGGATCATTTGAGCCCAGAAATTCAAGACAAGCCTGGGCAACCCTGTCTCTACAAAAAATACAAAAGTTAGCCAGGCATAGTGACATGTTCCTGTAGTCTGAGCTACTTGGAAAGCTGGGGCAGAAGCACAGAAGGTCAAAGCTGCAGCGAGTCATGTTCATGCCACTGTACTCCAACTTGGAAAACAGGTTTTGCCTCCTGCAGAATTATTGTTCTCGGAAAAAAGACAGGGTTAGTTTCCTGCAAACCTCTCCAAACAAACATTTTTGTCAACCAATCAATGCTAATACATAATTTCTAAAATGTATGTTTCTTTTAAAAATTGCTTATTTTATTTATATTTATATCTATATATAATTATATTTAAATATATATATTGATACTTCATATTTGATTTATTAACAATGAACTCACAGTCAACAGCAGTGTAACTCATGTCTAAACCAAGTTTGTCTATTACAGATTTTTATTCCCTAAGTTGTATCACAGCCTTCTTATGCTTAGAAACACTAGATAGCATATCTGCACTATGCTTGGGAACAATTTTAAACAGAAAAATCAACAACAAAAAAATATGATTATTATGGCACTAAATATGCATTGAAAAGCACACTTGTTTACAGTATGAAAGCTGAAAACAAGAAGGCAAACCATCACCTTCTTTGACCTGAGAGAGGAATGAACACATACGGTGACTCAAATTTTTTGCTTCTACACATATGTCTACAAATGACTACAAAAGCACCCTGAGTATTAGTTTTGGATTTACAAGTACATTTTAGTGAGTACATAAACTCACACATACATTGCCTCTGAAGAATGAGAATCAATATATATATAATGTGATTCACCATGGCCTTTACCAACATTTTTATCAGTGGCTCTTAACCATTTTTTGAGTTTTAGATCCTTTTGAGAATATTATAAAAGTTACGTATTCTCAGAAAAATTCACATGTTAAAAAACCTGTAATTTCATGGACTTGTGGACCTTCTAAAGTCCATTCCAACTGATAATCCACGAAACAGTTTTAAAGCACCAGCTTTAAAGATTCTAGGCAAAGAAGTTTTTAAAGCATTCCTTAACAACCATTCTGGATATAAACCATTGGTGAATGTGCTGAATATGAATGCTTCATATTTACAAAATAGTCACCGCTATATATTTTCTCAGTGTATAGAGCAACAATGATCAGGGTTTATCAACTAAATTAAAGGTAGTTTCATAGAGGATAATATGCATTTGCAGTTTTCATTATTTCTAGGGCAAATTTTTCTTACGGAGTACTAGTTTAAAGAATCTACATAACATAAGCAGAAAAGGAAGATATAAACTAATTTAGAGCACTATTCTTGCTTCCTAAAATGCTCCAATTTGGGGGAATGAACACATACAATGTGAGGTTTCATGCACATTGATATTTGGGTGTTTTTGTTTTGCTTTCTGAGACAGGGTCTCGCTCCGTTTCCTAGGCTGCAGTGCAGAGGCGCAATCCCAGCTCACTGTAATCTCTGCCTCCTGGGTTTAAACAATCCACCCACCTCAGCCTCCCAAATAGCTGGGACTAC